TTAGTCTCACACATAGGCTCCTGGAGCAGACCTCGGCGCAGAGTACTTCACGGAATAACCGCGACCGTCACTCTTCGGGCACTGGCAACACAGAAGCCCTCCACCGATGATCAGCAGCCCAGACGCACCCCAGCCGATGAACAGCGATGCTCCCAGCTCCCGCTTCTGAGCCTCAGACAGAATGGGGTTGTAGAAGTCTCTGATGACTGTGTGCGCGCACCAGCAGACCGGGATCAGGCACAGAACGCCACCCACCAGGAAGAATACGCCGGCCACGACCCCCACTTTAGCCTTTGCATCCTGATCGTCAATGCAGTTGGTGCACTTGCCTCCAGCGACAGCCAGAATAACTCCCAAGGAGGTCACGAGAATGGAGATGATAACAAGAGCTCGAGCGGCCTGGAGATCTTGTGGTAGCGCCAGCATGGAGTCATAGACCTTGCACTGCATCTGCCCTGTGCTCTGCTGCACGCAGTTCATCCAAAGGCCTTCCCAGAAGATCTGTGCGGTCACGATGTTGTTGCCAATAAACGCCGTCACTTTCCACATGGGGAGCGCGCAGATAATGATATCTCCCAACAAGCCGATGACCGCGAGGGCAGTGGCCAAAATCTGAAACCCAGCAGATGCCATTATACTTTCGTGTTAGTATGCAAAGTAGCAGACCCTATCACCTGAATGGCCGATGCAATTATTTATAGTGCGTGGTTTGTAATGTGATTTGATGCAGCTGGTCAGTATTTCCCGCTCTTTCCTCCTAATTAATTTCAAAAACAAGGCTGTCTGGAATAACAAACCACGGACATAATCATATAATTTGCACGTGGCTCATGTCCCCACCAATTTATTGAAATTCGATCTTGTTCCATTCACTTTTTAAAAGCCTCTGAAAGGCCTAACGCACTGAAAATGCATGATTCTTCATGATTTAAACATGTAACGCAAGATACATTTGCATAGGCCACATAGACTCACAAATCGGGGTTTATAATAAATAATAGCAAATGATATATATATATATATATATATATATATATAAATGATGAATTTATATATAAATTTATATATAAATGGTGAATTTACTGAAAGGCTTAAAGAAAAAATTGAATAGAAATTTAATTACCTCATTATTGCGAGATTTGTCTCAGTGTATGGTTTTCTGAACATATTCTTAAGGCTATCATTGTGATCTTTTAATAATTAAAATAACATTTTATTATCAAAGAAAATTTATTATTATTATCACAATATTTTTTCTCCCTTGTTGAAGTGAAAAAGCAGAACAGAAACAGATGTTTGCTTTTTATTTTTCTTAAATGATGCTCACACAAAACACACTTTTTTATATCACGACCAGCCATTTTTGCCCCTGACAGGGAAGAGAATAACTGTTGAATAAAGTGGTTATTTTTGCTTTCTTTTTGTACAAAAAGTATTCTTGTAGCTTCATAACACTGCGGTTGAACCACTGTCACATGGACTATTTTAAGGATGTCCTGGCCTTGAACGTGTCAGTTGCGTTGCTGTCTCAGGGTTAGAAAGCGCTCGGATTGAATCAAAAATACCTCAATTTGTGTTCTGAAGATGAACGAAGGTCTTACGGGTTTGGAACGACATGAGGGTGAGTAATTAATTACAGAATTTTTATTTTTGGTTGAACTATACTTTTAAGTCAGTGGCTACGTCACTTTGAGAGTAAAAAACACACAAATTTAATGCATTAATACATTTTCCGCATTGTTTTCCAAGGAAATTTGCACCTTGCAATTGCAATGTCGTTTTCTGATGATTTTTTTTGTACATTTTATTTATTTGAGAAATTATATATCTGTCATTTTTTCTGTCATTTCTATATAATTTGTTTTTTAGTTTGTATTTACAAACATTTAGAATTGTGTTGTGCATTTCTAATAAGAGATGTGTTCGCTGTTGTATTTTAAAGTTAAAAAGTTGTCTCTGCATGTCCATCAGTGGCATGACGTTTTTTAACACCGAGTAACTTAAATGTAATTTTATAGGAAAAAAAGAGATTTCATGTTTAAAAGTTATTTCACAGTTAAGTTTTTTTTAATCCACTTTCAGTGTGTTAATTGTTTTAAACATTAACTGAAATGTCATTTAGACAGAATTCTGGAATCTCTGTATATGATTTCAACATGTTTTACGATTATTTGTTCATTTTCAAGGGACAATATGGAACAAAATGTGTTATTTATTTGGTTGAATGTGCTATTGCACATAAGTTGAGAAAATATGCCACATTAAGTTAAATTAACTTAAATTTTAGTACAGATAAATTTAAAATGTAAGTTAACATATTTCAACTAAACTTTTCAAGTCAAGGTTACTTGAAATAAGTAGTTGGTTCAACTATTTTATTATGTCAACTAAACTTTTTAGAAATAAAAGTAAATAAAAACTTAGTCAAAGCAAAAATATAACTAAAAAAATGTAAGTTGAGTGAACACATTTTTTTTACAGTGCGGAGTTTGACATATATAATTTTTTTTCACTAACATTTCCAACAAATCAAACTAAATACATAATTTAAAATGTTTGTGACTTTAAGAGTAAAGCGTCCTTGTGTGTTTTATTGCATACATTGTTAGACAGATTAAGTGAATTTGTTAGAATGGGAAATGTTTTTAACACTTTATTTATTAAGATTTTCCAATTACAAAACATTGAAACACGTTATCAGTAATGTTATTAAAAACACAAACAGAAGAAACAAAAACAGGAAAACAAATGAAATAACAAAAAACATGCAGACACGAAAGTGTGTATCATGCCATAAATATGTAAGGGTTGTGAAGTGTTTTAGGAGTTTATATGACCAAAAGAGACCCAAATAAATATATATATATTTTTTAAACGAATCACGTCCAAAACCACATCCCTTTTTTTGCTTCTCAAATCCAGTTCGTTGTTCAAATCCCCAAATCCCACCCCGAGGAGTTGGGGAGTCTGCATATAAACCCTCTCAGTCAATAAAAACGAGGGGTGACGGGACGAAAAGAACCATGGCATCTTTGGGGTTGCAGATTTTAGGAGTTGCCCTTTCGTTTGTTGGGTTGCTGGGGTCTATTATAACCTGCGTCCTTCCTATGTGGAGGGTTACAGCTTTCATTGGCAACAACATCGTGACGGCGCAGATAATTTGGGAGGGACTGTGGATGGTCTGTGTGGTTCAGAGCACGGGGCACATGCAGTGCAAAGTCTACGATTCAATGCTCGCCCTGTCCCCGGACCTGCAAGCCGCGCGCGCTTTGCTTGTCCTCTCCATCGTGCTCTCTGTCTTCGGCATTCTCCTGGCGGTTGTAGGAGGGAAATGCACCACCTGTATCGAGAACAAAGCCTCGAAGGCAAGAGTTGTCATATTTGCAGGGGTGTTTTTCATCATTAGTGGACTGCTGTGTCTCACACCCGTCTCCTGGTCGGCGCACACCATTATCCGGGATTTCTACAACCCGCTCGTGTCTGACGTGCAGAGACGGGAGCTCGGGGCGTCGCTCTACACGGGCTGGGCCGCCGCGGGGCTGCTGTTCAACGGGGGCGCGATACTGTGCTGCCAGTGCCAGCAGAAAGAGGAACGAGCATTCGTCCCCAAATACCCGGCACCGAAATCAAACGCATCGGAAAAAGAATATGTGTGAAGAACATTTAAAACAACATCAGAACTTTTGTATGCTTTTCATTTGTATTATAAACAAGTTTTCTATAACTGACATTATGTAGGCTACAGTTAATCCAGTGGTATAACCTAGCAATCTATATGAATGTAGGTCTACATGTTAATACAAGTAAAAATAATTAATTAATTAATCGCCATAATCAAATAATGGTCAAGTCACGCAAATTTTTTTGTCTGTTGCTGTTAGAATGCAGCATTAATAGCCTATTACAAATGCAGTATTATAAATAAAAAAAAAAGACTTATTACCACCTCTTAGATGATTAACAAGTTTTCTGCCATATTGATCATTTATGTGTGGGGCGCAGAGCTATGACTGTTCAGAGATTGTATTGTAAACAAACAAAAAAACGTGTAAAGAATTGTTATATTTTGCCATTATGTTTTATCTAAAAAATAATAATAAAACATTATAGCAATATAAAAAAAAAAACAGTTTATAGGGTGTGTGGCAAGAATGCCAGTTTATTATCAACATAAATAAATAAAAATACAAAATGAAACCCATCTAGACCGTGATGACTTGATGTTTTCATTTCTTATATTTTAATTTTATTTATATTAAGTCCAAATTCATCATATTTGTACAAAATATTTTTATCTTGGAAAATGTTTGAAAATGTTTTTGATTGCTTTTATAAACTCACATGCACTTCATATTTTTAAGTGACATTAATCATTTTTAAAAATGTATCTGACATTAATACACAAATTACCAACATTACACACGGCATGTTTAAAACAGATTTTAAAATATTTCTCCTTTTTATAATCTCAGACATCCTTATTTGTCACTGACCCATAAAAATGAATAAACACTTATTTGTCATTTATTTCTACTTTTGTTTTTCCTGGACAGAATGCTCATTCCTGTTTTAAATAGATGTAGCAAGACTCTGTAATTAATGCTTGTACTTGTTTGATTTTGCACAGTAGTTGGAGTGCAAAGAGTTTCTCCCTGGCGACGATAATATCTTATCCTTTGTATGCATGGGTACAAAAGCAGCGGCACAAAACAGCAGCTGTGGAATGGTCAACAGAGGAGTGTTCACGCAGTGTTAAGCGTGTGTGTACATGAAAGAAAAAATAGTTTCAAAGCTAACATATAGAGATGTTCATGATCAGTCACTCAAACATCATTTTATTCTCATCACTTTTTTATTGTAAACAAACAATTGTGAACTTATTTTCATCAGCTTTCATTCGGTCATTTTCATTTACCAAATGTCAAAAGTCATGATAGTTTGCGTGATAGTCTATTTCAGTCATTTTGCACAGTACTTGCCACATATCTTAAAGGTTACTCTCACACGTAATCCATTGCTGGGGTAACAGATCTGGCAGGGCTGTATTTGGCTGCCACGTAGGGCCTATTGTCATTGGACGGGCAGTTCCAACAAAGAAGCCCACCACCCAGCAACAAGAGGCCTCCAGATCCCCAGCCTATATAAAGACAGGCTCCCAGCTCTCGCCGCTGGGCTGCTGTTACTAAAGGGTTGTAGAAGTCCCTGATAAGAGTGTGTGCAGACCAGCACACGGGTATCAGGACCAGAAAGCCAGCGATGATTAAAACCACCCCTGAAACGATGCACGCTCTGGCTTTGGCTGCTTCATCCTCCAAGCAGTTGGTGCACTTTCCTCCAACCATGGCCATCAGGAATCCAAAGATGCCCACCATGATGGAGATGATAACCATGGCTCTGGAAGCCTGCAGGTTTTGCGATAGAGCCAACATGGAGTCGTAGACTTTACACTGCATCTGTCCGGTGCTCTGAACCACACAGCTCATCCATAGACCTTCCCAGATGATTTGTGCCGTGACGATGTTCACTCCAACAAAGGCTGTGACCCTCCACATTGGCATGCCACAGGTGATAATGGTCCCCAGCCAGCCTATCATGGCAAGCATGATGCCCAGGATCTGGATGCCTTGAGATGCCATTGTTGCTGGACACAGGTCACTTTATGGAATTGCCTAAAGTGTCTGAGAGGTTTTAATTGTAAGGGTTTTATAGTCCTCAAACTTTGGGCGGAGTTCAAGCACAAAAAGCAAAAAGAAAACCAGATATTTGATATTCTTTGACTATTGTTTGAAGTGTATGAAGAGCTAGATAACACAAGACACCTTCTGGCAGTTCAAATGAATTTGAAAAAAGGAAGAAAAAATCAAAGCACTAAACTCTACATCTGTACTGGTGAAGGAATTACTAAATTTCAATTTAAGAAAATCAACACAGGTAATGCATTCTGGAAAATTAAGTGTTGATATAAATATGATCACTTAATTTCCTAGAATATATAAGTATAAAATAATTTTCTATAAGTCGTATTTTAAAAATATCTTAGACATACTGTAAAACAAGTGAAAGTATTCATGCAAAGTTTCACAAACATTGTTTTTTCTGGTAAAAAATTAGCAACACATTTGTGTGGTAATTCGTAACTATTTTGCGTTTTGGCAAATTGGTGGCTAACTCGTATAAATTCGAATGATCTAATGTGTATGTTTTCATACAATCTTGCACCAGAAAAATCGTAAGTTTCTGTACAAATAACATTGTACAAATTCATACAAAATCACCTCATAAAATAGTAAGGTTTTCTCATGATATTGAATTGAAAACTCCTAATCAGTGTAATTCTACTTCCTTACATTCAAATTCGAATTTTAATAATGCATCCTGTTTGCTACCACAATTCAAATTTGAATTCTGAATGGTGCACAAGCCCGGTTGCAATTGGCGTTCACAATGGCAAATTTCACTTGTTTTGTGGAAGAAAAAAACAAAAACAAATGGTCCATAATTTGTCTAATTAATAGCAGTTTGGAAACACAAGCCAAACCTCAGATCAGGGATGCGTTCAGCCCTGACAAAATGGCGCAAAACGTTTTTTAAAGGAAATGGTGGTGCGTTGAACACCCTGTTCTGATGACGCAAGAGTTGCAACTATGGCAGCTGAGAAGGCCATTATTTGTGTTCTTTTTGAATAATTTTCGGAGCCTGATGAAATCGGTAGGCTATAAATGCGTGTTTAATACTGCAAAATACGCTCGATGTTACAGTCACTGCCCTTGCCGTCCAGAATAAAAGAGAACATCCCAATCGAGTGAAGGGATTTGTGGAAACTGTGGTTCCTAATTATTGTGATCCAACATTTGCCTCGCATTTCAGGATGAAAAGACAAACATTTCAGGTGAAGGATAATCCACTTCTTCCGATGATGTGTTATGATCTATATGACCGTATTATTTTTATTGTGAGTATTATCGTTATTGCTGATCACTGTTGTTGTGCTATGCTATTGTAATATTTACCATTGTACAATCAGATGAGTATAGAAAAGTTTATTAACGTGTCACTCCACAATACAATAGCAAAATATATAAATATGTATAGTATTTTTATGTTACATTATTAATCAATGTCTAGCACACCTTCCTAAGGAAAGGATATGGACCAGAAGACATTGCAATTACTAAATGATATTTAGACAGACTTAAAGAAGTTCCAGATCTATACTTGTGCTCTTATTATTTCAGTTATTTTTGCCTTTAATGTAAATAAACATGTGCAAACAATATACTTGCTCTTGTGAATTTATTTTTATGTTAATTACATTGTGCAAGCTGTCTCTTTAATACCGCGTTGGTTTATATACATGTTGCTGCTGATTGGGCTGACATTTTTGACACACCCACTAAACAAGAGAAAACGTATCTCAAACCCCGTTGCGTACCGGAGCACACCGTTTCCAGGAAACATGTCGTTCAACCCGGAAACTGTAGCAAAACGTTGCGCACCGGTTTGAGCTTGAACTTGCCCCATGTTTAGCCTTGGCTTATTATTCGCATTGACTCTGAAAAAGAACCTGAAAAACCACACCTGTTCTGGATTTGTCGTTTGACAACTCCCTCAAAGAATGTTTTGTAAACGGGGACTCTTTTGAAATCTTTTAATTGCCACAGGGTCGGTGACACATAATGGAGGGCTGCAATATGACACCCGTGTTAACGCCCATGCAAATGCATTTTATACAGTTAATAGACAGTTGTGATACAAATATATATATATATATTTTCCCCTTTGGACATAAGTTATATCAGATAAAAATTGATGTACAAAACAGTAATATTTACAAAATCATAAAAGTTCAAATACTTGAAAAAATTAAAATACATATTAAATAGGGGGAAAAAAAACACATCAAACATGACAAATGGTTTGAGAGGAAAAATTGATCATAAGACAGATTTCAGATTAGCCTCCTTTAACTGCAGAGGTTTTTTTAATGTGGTTCCCCATTTTCCTCATTTTCTTATATGTAGAAAATATTTAGAAAACTTGTAGCATCAGTGTTTAATTGACTGCTTTTCAAGTCCTTGTGATACCTGCTGCAAACTCTTTTTGAGCCGCTACATCCTGATCAAACCAAGACTGTAAACATTATAGGCACTATAGAGTTCATTTCAGAGTTCATCATTTACACAAAGTTCTTGCCGGATGGTGCAGAAGCTGCAGACCGAGGTGGAGCGTTATATTTGGCTGTGTATTTTCCCGTTTCCTCCTTTGGTGGGCAGTTGCAGCAGAGCAAACCTCCCCCGATGATCAACAGAGCAGCGGCTCCCCAGCCCATGTATAGAGCTGCTCCCAGCTCTCTCTTCTGTGCTTGGTTGACCAAGGGGTTGTAGAATTCCTGGATGATGACGTGTGCCGTCCAACACACTGGGATCAGACACAGCACTCCAGCAATGATGAAAATCACACCAGCAGTGATACCGACCTTAGATTTGGCACTCTCGTCTTCAACGCAATTGGTGCATTTGCCTCCAGCCAAGGCCAGCATGATGCCCAGGATCCCAATCACGATGGAAATGATGGTGAGGGCACGGGCAGCCTGAAGGTCTGAGGAAAGGGCCAGCATGGAGTCGTAGACTTTACACTGCATCTGTCCGGTGCTCTGCACAACGCAGTTCATCCAGATTCCCTCCCATGAAGTCTGTGCCGTGATGATGTTACTACCAATGAAAGCTGTGACTTTCCACATGGGAATAGCACAGACCACAATGACACCGATCCATCCTATGATGGCCAGGGCGGTGCCCAGTAACTGAAGCCCAGCAGACACCATGATTTTTGTCTCTTGTTAGTCTCTTGAGGTGGCTCTCTTTGCACTGCTTACAGGTGTATGTCTCAGAAAGGCTGCGTGCTGATGCTTTAAAGGAGCCTGTAAAGCTTTGGGGGAGGGATTTCTGTAGATTGACTCGCTCTGCTGGTTTTGTAGTTACTTCATGGGGTGTGACTAAGCCAAGGCTTGAATGAGTCGCTGCCATGACATTTTTTGTTGCGGACGCAGTACCTTATATGGCTTTCTCAAAATATTATTAACCCTTAAAAATGTAAATATCTATGTAAAAATCTATAGAGGGATCAGTAAAATATACCAAGAACATGTGCATTGCACTACTAAGAAAAAAAAAGTTTTTTTTTTTTTTTCAAGGACAGAATATAAGACATGAAGTGCCGCTGACAGGAAGTAATCATGTTCCCGGGGGACACAAAACAATGTATTGGAACTACTTTTGGAAATTGTTGTGGGATCTTAGAACTCATCACTTAGTGAACTAATATCAATAAATGTAAATTAACTCATATAAAAAGTATTATTCAATTAAATAAAAAATGACATTAATGTATACAGTGGGTACGGAAAGTATTCAGTAGGACCATGTGATATTTCAGTTTTTCTTTTTTAATAAATCTGCAAAAATGTCAACGATTCTGTGTTTTTCTGTCAATGTGGGGTGCTGTGTGTACATTAATGAGGAAAAAAAATTAACTTAAATGATTTTAGCAAATGGCTGCAATATAACAAGGAGTGAAAAATTGAAGGGGGTCTGAATACTTTCCGTACCCACTGTACATTTTGTTTTTTTGTTTTTACCTTTTATTTTACCTTTTTAATTATAACTTTTATATTTTTTTGATTATTTAATTTTTATAAATAAAATTATTAAATAAAAATATCGATATAATAAGCATATATAATATTTATAATCAATTTAGATATTTTATAGTTAAATTTTAAATATATTTATTTACACAATTGTAAACAATACACATAAACAATATATTCTAATTTTGTTCTAATATATATATATATATATATATATATATATTACAAATGCGGTGCAGGATTTACTTTGAAACTATTTTCACTCAGAAATTGCTCAAATAATTACAAAGTAGAAAGACTGAAATAGTATTTTTTTGTAATATGTACACAATACTCTTTGTTTTATTTACAACATTTTTTATTTATTTATTTATTTTTAGAGTGTATAGGGAATTGTGTCCACAGCAAGGACCATTATCATATTTTTCTCTTTAGGTTTGTGCTTTGTGCTCCCTCATGGTCTACAAAGTATTAAGAAAGTGGCAACTGGTTTCATATGACACAATAGAGACATGGAGAAGTTTTCCCGAGGTTGTAGATCACTGACCATTGTCTCATCACACTCAATTCAGGTCAAAGATATCTCAAGTAAAACTTTGTTACTTCTGGATATGACACATGTAACAAATGCTATATTGACTTAGTGTCTTACTCAGTACGTTAGCAATTCCCATGGCAACTATTTCTCAAGAGTTCCCTGACATTGTGCCTCAGTGAGGGGGAGGAGCAGCCTGAATGCACCTGTACCCACCTGAGCTGGTCAGACCAGTTCCTGCTGGAGCACAGATGAAATGTTGACACTGCGTCTGGGCAAGACTGAACAGCTCATCACAGATCCTTGCATCAATAAGCCTGTTCAACTGACAATAACAGAGAATAATCAAATCTTGACAACACAGTTTGTGTTTATGTGTGTACATATAGGCTACATGCTGCTTTAATAAAGCAAGGAGAAAAAAATGAGAAACAAACTTCATTGTTATCCATAACATGAAGCCTCATTTACAAAGAGACGGGAATGAGTTGATATTGTTCCTCAATGAGAACACATTGCTTATGCTATGAATAACAAATATATCTGAATGGGAGGAACTATATTACATTATGCATAAAATATACTATCATAGCTATATTTACTTAGTGTCTTACTCAGCACGTTAGCAATTCCCATGGCAACTATTTCTCAAGAGTTCCCTGACATTGTGCCTCAGTGAGGGGGAGGAGCAGCCCAAATGCACCTGTACCCACCTGAGCAGGTCAAAGCGGTTTCTGCTGGAGCACACGTGAAATGTTGACACTTTGTCTGGGCAAGACTGAACAGCTCATCACAGATCGTCACATCAACAAGCCTGTTTAACTGACAATAACAGAGAATAATCAAATCTTGTAGACAACACAGTTTGTGTTTCTGTGCGTGTATATAAGCTACACGCTGCTCTAATAAAGCAAGGAGAAAAAATGAGAAACAATTTCATTCTTATCCACAACATGAAGCCTCATTTACAAAGAGAAGTGAATGAGTTGAAATTGTTCCTAAGTGAGAACACATGATTACGCTGTGAACAACAACTATAAAAGATCTGAATGGGAGGAACAAAAATATATTACATTATACATGCAGTTTAAATGTTTCTAGCATAGTTATATGTTGTGGCATAAATAGCAAAAATAAATAAATAAAGGTGTAATACAAAATAATGTATTCATTCACTTTAGAAGGTGTAATGCAGTCTTATAATTATCTTAACTGAAGAATAATATTAAGGCCAGTATGATGTCCCGACTTGGCAAAGGGTGTGTTTGTGTTATCCTTGTTTTTTTAAATCTTCACCATCACATTCAGAAAAATTAACAAGATATTTGAGTCAACAGAGACACTCTTGCTCATTGATAAGGGGCTGTTTCACATGGGATTGGTTCTGAGAAAGCTGTAAGCCTTGAACTCAATAGATAAACATAACCTTTTTGAGACAAATCATGGAATGTTGAACCATTTCAACTTTCCAACTTACTGATGGGTGTTAATCGTATGAGCAATATGAATATGGCATATATATAAGCAACACAAAATCAACATTTAAGGAATTTAGTGGATGCTGCATTTACAACAAAAAATGCTTTAATGTCACTTGTGATACTGCTGAGATTGCAAGCAGAATGCAATTCAGAAAGTTAACCTACATTTTCACATATACAAACAGTATTACTTAATACAGCTTAATAGTATGACATAATACTTTAAAAAATTTTCATGTTCACAATGTATTACATGTGATTGACACTGTTTTGTATTGTAAATGTATGCCCACTAGTGGCTACATATGTAATTGCATTGAAGACTGAAGACCGAGATCAGTGATGCAGCTTGTCCAACGCACACGTGTTTCGTCGTTTTATTGTTTTATTATTGCTTTATTTATTCAAGTTCTATCACATACGTCACCTCAAAACTCGCAATGAGGGTCGGTTCTGTTCCTTCTTGTGTAACAACCAGCTCCGAAACCGAAAACAAGGAGGAGAAACGGGAAAACAAACCATCTTCAAACTTTTGATAATTTATTGATATCATTTGTGGTGAAAGTGTCTTTCAGACCCCCTGTAAACGTTTAGTCCGTTTTTTGTTGTTGTTGTTTTGTTTTTTGGCGAAGAGAGAAATGTATGCCTCCTGTGCCAGTTGTCTCTTTATGTTCACATGCAGTTTAAATTATGTAATTAGATAGATAGATAGATAGATAGATAGATAGATAGATTAGTACTGCAACCAAAAGCTAGTAAAATGTTGTAAAAACGTATTGTGCTTGCTGGGTCATGGAAGTAGAAAGGTGATTCCAGCTGTTTAAAAAGAAAATAAACAATTAAAAAATAATACTAATAATAAAAACATTAATTCTACTCAGGAAATAATTACAAATACTGCAAGTAAAGTGGCCAATGGAGTGCCACAGGAATCAGTTCTCTTTAAAAGAACAATATCTTCCCACTGAAACTCATTAGTCATCAACATCATGGTGCCTCACAGAAACTCATTTCAATATTATCAGTGTTCTCTGAGAAGGAAGTAGGCCAACACACTGCAAATGATGTCATGTTCACCTATCAAACACAGACCAGTTTCAGGCACTCTTGTGAAAACATGGCAATAACTATTTCTTCTCTTTTATTTTTACTTCACATAAAAGGTTATATGGGTTTGGCATTTGTACTAAAAAGCTCTCTGGGTGTGTCCGTGTTGAGAACCACAGTTTTTATTGAATGTCCATTAAAATGTTTATTAAGTTCCTCATATCAAATAGGTTGTTTATGAACTTGGTGGATTAATCAAATGTTTACTAATTCAGAGTCTGGTTTAAACACATCACTGTATGTATTTACATGAAATTTCCCATGTGCATTCATTGCACTGTAAGTCTTTACATGTGTCAGATATCATTAAACAGATGACCCTCTCTGTTGTCTCTGAAGTTGTCTTATCAGGAAAGCATTAATTAGCAAATACACAAATCCTACATTCTACAGGCCAAAAGATATTAAGTAGCCTATAAACAAAACAAGCTAAAACGACTAAATACAGTAGAATAAATGAACCATTAGAGGAAGCAGATTAATAAATAAAATGTCAATTTAAATTTTTTTTTTTATAATTTTGAAGGGGACAAATAACACTTTATGGTATATAATGATGCTTTGGACAATTCTGTTACACCAAATACACAAAATAATGATCTTTAAAAAAGCATCATATGACCCCTTTAATTCATCTTCACCCCCATGATAATTCTGTGAAAGCCACACATTAAGAGCTTTAACATTTGTCTGGTTTTGGTATTGATAAGTATTTAATATCAATGTCATGATAAAAGCATGAGTAAAGTTTTGGCCTTTTGGTTTAACAACTTCGTTATACTTTTGTAAGCAGTAACATTCATTTTCAACATTGCCACACATTCCTGCTTTCATAAGTGTGTAGACATCTGAAGAATCGTGTCTTTTTCTCCAAAGTGAACAAAGCTTGAACTGTAATACACATTGACATAATATGATAGGTCACCACAGTTTCACTTTATCTGCTCTCTCTCAGCATGTTTTGCATTTTTAAACTAAAACGGTCTAACCTCCTCATTTACGCACATATGGACGTAGCCTATCAGTTCATAGTTTCACTTCCCGTGTACACTTGTTTTTGGGTTGCATCACTAAATTTAATCCTTATACAGCCAGGACATGGGCATCTGAAATATTCTAAATATGGC